AAAAAAAATGTGCCAAAATTGAGTGTAGTATACCTTGAGCGTTTTGCATATCTCTTCGGCAATTGACTCTTTTGGACAGAGGACAGCATGGCAACGGAGCTCATGCTTTAGTTTACGGCCTTCGTGTCGATATATCCAGCAAAAGACTCGTGGGTAGTTTTTCGGTGAACAACAGTATGTGATGCGATTTGACCAATATTCTGTTAAACCATTTTGTCGAGTGGTGGCCCTCAATCCGGATGAGCATACCAGTATTCGCATCGCAACATCGGGTTTGTTGATCTGTGTATAATTTCGCCATAACGTTGCCAATGGCTTTTTGATGCAATTGTCACCTGGTCGTGTCGAAAAAAATCGCACAAACACGTATCAAATAAAAAAAAAAATTGCTTTGATTATTTACAACTTAATGGACAAATCACAAGGATAAAGCAAGACAAAACAAGAATTTATGTGAATTATATGGATTACTAACGAATATTCCCGACTTTTTGTTGGCAACAAATGAAACCGATTGATTCATACAAAATATTGATTGTTTGATTGTCGTTGTTATTGTTATTTTTCGCTTGGGCAATGTCAAACGCGACGTAGAATCTTATTTCGTTTCATCATTTCCAGCCGAGCGAAGAATTTGTTTTTTCGGTTATCGACTCAATTTCAAAAGAAATAATAATTAACAACAATTCGAATGATTGACGAAAAGGAAGACAACATCAACTACATAAGAAAAATTGCTCAAGTCAAATGAGCGTTAATCGAAATGATTTGTACATTCAGAAATGTTGGGTGTTGATGATATCGCAATTAATTGATTAATTTCATTTTTGAACAACATCGGCAAAAGACAACGACGACGAACAAAAATATAGTTATGATTACTTTGCTAAACTACATTTGATTTACGACGTAGAAATGGAAAGAGCTTCATTGTATCTTATCTCCCGTGTCCGAGAGTGATAAAGTGATTCGATCAAAATCGATTAGAATGAAACATTATCCATTCGTGTGTCGGCTTGGAGACGCTCTTTTTGTTTGGGATAAATGATAATCGGCCAAATGACTACAAACAGTCGGTGCGCGATAAAAATGATTGATGAGGTAGGCAAGAAATGAATAAAAGTCAACCTAAAAAAAAGTGAACAGGCTAATGATCACGTACCTTTTGCCCAGCCGGTTAAAACGTTGCCCAGATAAAAGACTTTGTATTCGGGATCGGGTGTGCTTATTTCGACGCTATACGATCGACGCCAAATAAGACCCAATCCTCTTGATATCGTTCGAAAGGCTCGTGCACTCAAATCTTTTTCATCACAGAAATCTTCGATTGGTAATTTTTTCTCATCGGCAGCTTCATTGGCAGCAGCAGCAGCATTGGCGGCGGCGGCAGCAACAGCCGCATTCGTATTGTCTGTTTTACAAAAATCGGTACAATCGACACCAACCGATTGATCGATTTGACTTTCCGACCGATTTTTGAATCGTTCGATTTTCAATTTATCTGTCGCGGCTACATGTCCGTTACGGTTTTTAAACAATAAACCCGATTTACACTTTGCGGTAGCGTCCGTTTTTTGGCGTGACATATGTTGATGCGTACTATACGCATTCCCAAATAGACGAGCTATCGATACGCAACGTACAAATTTTGGCTTCTCTTTTGTAATGCAATTCGATTGCTGAACGACCGAAGAAGGATCACTTGTTTTTCGTTTAACGTTAAACATCTGAATGATTGTTGTGTTATCGTCTGGTTCCTTTACTTATTCTCAACTTCGTTCATAATTGATGCATTTTACGTAGTAGTTTGTCTTTAATCGCTGGCTGACTAACACTTATTGGGCCAGTGATTATCGCCGTTTACTCGTGTGTTCCGTTCACAAAATATTACTGGCCGCACTATTTTGATATTCGACTGTTCAAAGTATTCAGTTATATTTTCCCCCTTTCGCCGAAAAAGAAACACTCCTCAAATCTTCACTACAGAAACAAATGAAAAAGAGAAAAAAAAACAACAACAAATTTTATGAAAAGAAAATACAAAAATCAAATCAAAATCAAATAAATGTCAGCGATATGTGTTACAATGTCTCTGTTGAAATATGCATGAAGCGTATTCTAGTGTTTCAATGCACGTTTTATTGGGTATCTTGGATCACTCTAATTGAATATTTTATTTGATTGAATTTTCGAGAAATTTTGCCGTGTGCAATTGGATATGAAAAGAAGGAAGAAAAAAGTCACCAATCGTGTGTTGAAACCCATTTGTCTGTTTAGTACTCATCGCGAATGTTCTATTATTTCAAAAAAAGAAGAAAAAAACAACAACAACAAGAAATAGACAGCCACAACAATAGCAACAAACGGTAACAACCACAAAAGAGAAAACGAAAAACTTTGAAACGAAATGTTGTCGTTGTTTTTTTCCCTACAGTCAAAAGCAGACTATATAAATGTGTGTCACATGCTTCTGTGTTCTGGTATCAGTTAGTCATTTGTACGTGATTTAGATATATGATTTCGATAATGAAATTAAAGAAGAAGAAGAAGAAGAAGAAGAAGAAGAAAATAAAAACAACCGATTCAGAAACTAGACATTATTGTTGGTGGGCAGGGTTTTCATTCAGAATGGGTTTTCTTCGTTGAACGCTCTTAGCTCCGTTAAGCGCGCGAGCGTTTGAGCCATCCACGGCCTCTATTAGTTTGTCAATAATTTATATCCACAATAGGATTTCTTTTCTTAAAAATCAATGTCATTCTTGATTGAATGTGACAATAAAATAAGACCGAAAGAGAAGAAAAAACACAAGCGCACACGAAACATTGAAAGTATCGATTTCATTGATTTTATTGTGCTTCTTATCGGTTCACCGTGCCTCTCCATAAAATGTGCAATTTTGAGTGAATACAACATTCAAATTAGAGGCGAGTCATTAAATTTTGTGTGTTTCGTTATGTTTTGCACATTAACGTAAAGTATCAGAGAAAAACGAACACACAATGCACACTCTACACACAATATCGAATACGATACGTGAATCATCAAGCTCTCGACCACTCTTGAAACCCAAATGTGTACGGGCTCGTGCGTATGTTTGTGTTTGTGTGTGTATTGGTGTGCATCCATGTGCAACATACTTTAGGTCGATATATCTTTGAGAAGAATACATGCGAATGCACGTCGATATACACAGCGCAACAGAATCAAATGTCATTGGTTGCATATTCTGACACACAAAAAACCAAACCGAGCGGCCAACAATAATAACGTATTCAAGTGATCAAGTGTGTTGTGTCGAATGAATATAAACGTTGTGAAAGTGACCCATCGAATTTTTGGAGAAATTTTTTTTTCGGTTGCTTCTCATACGATTCATTTGGGAAATTTTTTAATGTAGAATTTATTCAGATGGAATTCCAGCGCAAGCGAGAGCGCGTGCGAATCAGCACTCGAACGTGAATGCGAACGCGAAGGCTAAACATGCCAAAACTTTGTCAGAATTAGGCAATGGCGAGGTGCGTTTGTGTTTGCGTGTTGTAGCAATCAACAAAAATTGGTTGATTTTCTCGCGGTCAATAAATTGTACAAACACAGAACAGTCAATTGGAGGCGACCACACTGAATTTGACGGGGAAAAATAAAGTTTGATCGAATTCATATCTACTTTATTCTACTGTTGATTATTGTTCATCGTGACCGCATTGACTTGAATTCATTCTTTTTTCATTGAGCGACCACAACAACGACGAAGACGAAGACGACGACGACAACAACAAGAAATTTGTATTAGACACACATATTATCGGTTTTAATTGCGAAAAGTGAAAGGTCAGAAGTATGAATGGATTTAAAGTTGTTCTGAAATACCGCCATACACTGCATTAGCCGTACATGGTTTCTATTTTTTTGCTTTTCACAACGGGCACACACTTGTTGAATACGAGAATCAACTATCCAATCGTTTGGACGATGCAAACGGTGTTTCACGCGGTCAGACTTCAATGCATTTGATCGGCAAGAGCGAGAGAGGTGGAGACCGAATGAGCGAGAGTGAGTGAGAGAGAAAAGCATGGGAGAAGAGAAGAAGAAAAAAAAGCAAATTGCATTTAATATCTTTCTCTAAAGTTGGCATTTTGTGTCGGTGATTTCAACAGAATGCTAATCGCTAGAAGAGAAAAAAAAATTGTACGTTGAGTAATCGTTAATTGACTGAATCACCAATCATATAAATATATATATATCTAATATGCGCTGAGCTATTCTAGCAATGCATTTATTTGTTTCTTCTTGTTTGTTCACGCTGATCTGCGTTCATTTTTTTATTTTCTTTTGTTTTTTCAATTCAATCATATTCGGCGGTTGAATTTGCTTATGATTTTTCTATCTTGTTGTGCGTTTTGTTTCGTGTACTGTTTTTTTTTCTTCTTTTCTTTCTATTTTGCGAAATTGGTTTTCGGCTTACACTTTCTTTCACTTCAATCAGAAAAATCACTTGAAAACCTCACATCAGTCGCAGCTATTTCTCGCTGATTGAGAAGTAAGAAGAGAAAAATACAAATAACACACAGGCACATATACACATAATAAATTTTTTTTCTTCTGCTTCTTTCATTTCAAATTATTGGCTGTTCTCTCTGGGCTTTTTTTCTTTCTCTTCAGTTGGTTGTGCTTTCATTTCCTTCTCTCGTTTACTCGACATATGAAAGTCGATAGATATATATACCAGCGCGACTGTACGGTCGAAATAGAAATTCTAAGAGGTAAGTTTTTTGTTTAAGTAAACGAAAATTGAACGATCAAACGAAACGAATGAATGGAAGAAAAAAATAAAACCAACTCGAAGGAATTTTACCATATATACGATCACTTCTTTTTTCGTTCGGTCCTCTCTTACGCGAGTTGTTACGTAGTTGATGCTTTTACAAATTTTGGAATATTCACGAAAATTTGAATAGATCACAAATTTGATCCAAAAACTGAAGACACATTCAATGACAATTTCTCGATACATTCAATCAATATACACACTCTTCGAACATCTACTTCAAACAAATGATTAGTTTGCACAGCAGCAACCGTACGGCAATAGAGTGGCAAAACACAGAAACAGAAACAAAAAAAAACAATGAATAACGTTCAATATAATATGTTGTTGTTGTTGCTGCTCAGTGTGATCAAGGTACCACTTTTTTTATAATTGCAGCAGTTATTTGTCGCAACAAAACACAGCAGAAAGAAAAATCAAATAACTTAAATTTTTCGTTAACACACAACTTTAAAAAAAATCTCTATTTCTCGAACACTCTACAACGGAAAATAGAGAGGCATACACAAATAAAATCGCTTCACAAAAACAATTATTTCATAAAAAAAAAGATGAGTTTCTAACTTCCTAATTGTTCTTACATTATTATGAATTTTATTATTTTGAATTTCGTATTACGGCGGATAAACAACACACCATGTATTCAATTTAGTGAATACAAGTAAACTATTTTAATGTAACTTTAAGCGAGCTTCATTTACCATGTACCTCTTCTCTCTCTGTGTGTATACATATATTTTGTGTGTTGAGAGAGCAGTCCGTCTATGAAACACGAAAAATTCACATTTAAAATAAATAAAATGAACGTTCGAAATGAATGAAAAATGTATGAAAACTGAATGGCAAAAAGAGATGGCCGAAAGAGAACGGTACGTTTGAGGTGATCAAGAGCGAACGAGAGACACGACGAACCGAGCGCAAGCAATCGAGCAAGAGTCAAAGTAAAGAGAAAGAAATACGAAAATACATACACAATATAATAATAATAAACATTCCATTTTAAGTACGCTATAGATGTCTATATGTATATATACATGAGAAAACCACATCACGTTCAAAAATGAAACGAAACGGCCGAACAAGTGTGGCATATTACCTACGTGCAAACTACGTGTATATGCTTAGTGTTATATTTTCTTGTTGTTTCTTCTCTTCTTTTAAAATATTTTTTTCACGCATACAAACACACACATACACATCCATCCATCCAACACACCATCCAGCCATACTCAAACTCTCCATATACACACCTCTCTCGTAGCGCACAAAACTCTCAAACGGCCATCAACACACCGTGATTGTGGTGTATGCACATCATCTCTTTGAATCGAACGAACAATCGAGGCAAGTGTTTACACGTAAACATAACCGTTAAAACGTTAACATACAATCGCACAGCACAATCTCAACACACCGATTCACACACAAACACTGTGAGACTCAAACATACTCATACACAGCGAGCGCACTGCGCTGGTGATCGAATGAGTAATAGAAAGAAAGGGAGAAAACGATAAAGAAAACGCATAAACGAACGAGAGTTCACACAGGTATTCGACAAGAAGAAGAAGAAGAAGAAGAAGAAGAAAAAAAATTATTAACTTTGATTGTGGTCGTAGTACACAACATGCACATACCTTCACTGTTTGAAAACGTGCAAGAAAAGAGGTGAATGGGAAAGACACTGCCAACAAGTTGTTGTTTCTCCGCGTAAAATGTGTTTTTTTCTTTGGTTGCTGTTATTCAACTTCTTCTCTCTTCAATAAAAAAAAAATGACGTAGACTGTTAACTTCATTCCATGCAATTAATGTGTTCTTTAATGTGTTTTGATGTTCTAAATCCAGGAATGACACTACAGAAATGCCACATCGAGCAATAGCCAGGTAGAGAGCGATCGAGCAAAAGAGTTAAAGAGAGAGAAAGAGGCATCTGAAATGATTTGGATGAACACGAACAAAACGACAAAATATCAACGTCGCTGACGACGACGACAACGTTCGACGATGATAATATTTTGTTCTGGAATATGTCTATGACAAACACATTTTAATTTTATTATTCGCTTGAAAAACTACATGATTACTTTGCCGAATTAATTATCCTATTCATTTATTGTAGCACAAAGAGCAACACCGAGTCGCAAACACTTCAAGATTTTTCTATTTCAATTTTGAATTAATTTTTTTTTTCAAACGACACAATTAATAACTCGTCAATTTTTCAATGGAATAATTATTCGAATGATATCCGAATACAGAGAAGAAAGAGAGCGAAAGGGAGAGAGAGAGAGAGAGGGAGCGGGAGAGATAGGTGGCGAGTATATGTACGTATAGATCCAGGCGATCAAACTTTTTCGTAGAATCAAAGCAATCAAGTGGAACAGGTTGGGGTCGGTATCGCGCATTATCTCGGATCAAGACTGGAAAACAAAAGAAATATAAATCCAACAATACACACTTCTATTAATTGAAATGAAATGATCGTTTGCATTTTTTTGTGTTGATGTTGTTGTTGTTGTTGATGGTGGGTTCAGTTCGTTTTGATATCGGATTTATTGGACGAAAAACAGCTCACAATGCGTGTGTGGCGATTGATTCAAACACCTGTCCACTCCACCATGTATTCTACTACTAATGCATACGATCACGTCATACGGGCTGCCTGCCTGCAGAAGCAGACAGTTCGTGTGTATCGATATTTACAAGGGACAGCCATGAGTGAATGAGAGAGGTGATATGCTCAATGCACACACACACACCCACTAAAGGGCAAACATATACAACAAAAATTTATGAATTTTAACGACTTGAATCACATCGTCTATTATTATTTATTTATTTCCTCTTAATTTCAAATTGCATTGACAACGGAAGTAATCGAAATATGCACGTTCATTTTTTGTCGTGTCAAAGTTGTAAAATTCACTTCTTATTATTATTACAAAAACAAAATAAACAAAATTGTTGTTTAATTATTGTGTGTTATCGTGCATTTTTACGTTGATGTTGATCGCCGGTGTGCTTTGTTTTGTTTGGTTTTTTTTTCGTCTAGATGAATTAATTCATAGTCCAACCACTTCGCCCGCTTTCCTGTAATCAGCATTCGCAAAAATTCCCGTCTGATTCTTTGCAATCGCACAAATCACCGAGCCTCGGTCTTCATATCTGTGCATTTTATGACCCAATAACTCCAGGCCCGTAATTAATTTCTGAAATAGTATATCGCATAAATATATAATAAAACCGAAAACATTCGTACACACATTCAAATCGGAAGGCTATAACACAAAATACAAAATGTATAGACAATAACTCGTTTAGCGCGAGCGCGAATATAATCACGTGAGTGCAATTGAGCCCAGCGCGTGTGCGCGCGAACGAGCCTCGATTACCTGTATATTGCCGTATTCGTATTGCACCTCCATTGGTGCTAGCTGATGATGGATTCGTGGTGCATCTACGGCTTCTTTGATGTCTTGTTCAAACCATAGCAATCGAGCAATGACCTACATTTTGGTTTAAAAGTTTTTTTTTGTTTCAAAATCGTATTAAAGTTTCAAGAATACTATAACATACACACACACACATGTCTTAACAAATGTGTGTGCGCATAAAACAATATTTATACGCATATTCAAATGAATTGATTACCGTTGAAATGGCGGTTGGTATTTTTGTGCCACCTGCAGCTCCAATCACCAATCGCACATCACCGTTACCATCGGTCACAATAGTTGGACTCATTGAAGAAATGGGACGCTTTTGTGGTGCAATATGATTTCCAGGCGATGCCGGCAAATCGAAATAATTTTTGAACGATTTTACGGCAAAATCGTTCATTGCATTGTTGAATATGATGCCCGTTCGTTTGCCCGATTGTCCAATTCCCCAACTGGATTCGGAAAAAATGAGATGCATTTTAATATTGATATTCAACAATTTGAATTGGAAATATGGTGTAAATAAGGAGAGAGAAAGAGATGTTATAGAAAAATGCCTGAATTTAGTACAAAATGAGCTCCTAACGAGAGATTTCAAACGACTGAATAACGAAGAGATTCAAAGCAAAAAAAAGGCGTCAAAACAGACACTTTAAAAAATGATTAACAGAAGGACAAAAACGAAATTTAAAATGAAGAGCTCACGGCTGGAAGGAAAACTAGACGAACATTTAAAAGCAGATATATTCCATTCAATGCCAACACTTACTACAAATCAATTGATGATGTAACGGAGATCGCATCACCGTTCGGTGCAAGAATTGAAACATGTGATGTTCCTTTGTCTTCAATCACTTTATAATCACCACCGTAATGTTTTGGATCATCTGATGTGTGATTATCATCAATTTTCTCACGAATTTGGTTAGCGAACTCGGATGATAACATTTTATGCACCAACTGAATGTTTTTCGAAATAGATTTCATTTTTGAATTTATGTTGGTTAATTTATATTTCATTCTTCTTCTTTTTTTCTTCTAAAAAGCATCAAAGCTCAAGCAAAAACATATGTTTTCGAGCTTAAATGGTGTGTAAACGATAGATGTTGAGATGTAGTATGAACTCACCTCCGGTATTGTGTCGGAGTTATTCAATTGTGTCCGATATCCAAATGCTGTAAACAATACGATAGATAACAAATAATTTGAGTGGATTTTTTGTTTGTTAATGAAATGAGAAGCATTTTTTAATTACCGTATTTGAAGGATTCGATGAATCGATGATATGTACGAATTTGATCGTCTTCAGTCTCAATATCTTTTCGTGTCATGTTGTACTCGCGTAAAATGTTGAGTATAAATGCAACAAGTGGTCCACCCCCTGTTGGTGTCACATACACAGTATTATCATTTATAGGCATTGTTAAAGACTCTTCCCACTGTGTTCTGCAAATGAGATTAAAATTCAATCAGTTTTTTTTTTGGTCTTTTTTCTATCCCAGTCCAGCTTAAAGTCACACACATAAATTTAATGTAAAAAAAAATTGCATTCCAATAAAATTGTAAAATGCAAAATCGAATTGCAATAAAAGAAAGTAATCCAATTGCAAGAGAAAAAAAAGAAATATGAAATGAATCAAAGTAAAAATTCCAATTCGAAAAAAAAATCACATTTAACGCCATTTCTTACGTCGAAGAAATGTTTTCTACAGAAAAAAACATAAAAAAATGCCGGTTGTGTAAATATTTTCAGAAGCCAAATTACATCATCATCATCATCATCGACAAACAATGATGATATAAACCAACGGTGTGGATAACATCCAATGTTTACAAGAATTCCAAAGCATTAAATAACCAATTGGATATGTCGATTCTGAAATACGGTCGCCAAACGAAAACGCCAAAAATGAACGGTACACATAGTGCGGTATTTTTTTTTTTTGTACAAATTATTTTAATTGAATACCATTTGTAGCATTCGCCATTCGACTTATTCGCCAGTCCCTCTGAATGCGTATTTCATTATTCAATTTGTATTTGCGCACGAATGAAAGCGAAATAACTACTAGCTAATAGCGTAAAAATCATTTAATGAACTGATGACACTCACCTGTACGATTCCAGATCTTTTTTTGTTACAATGCTACCGAGATCTCGCAAATCATCGGCGATTAAAGCAGCCAATGTGCCATTGTAGAAGTCATTACCGCCATTTTCGGCAATCAATTTGTAGGTGTTGCATAATTCCGGCGCAAATCGTACATATTCACCTTCACGTCGCGGTGTATTCGTTCCGTTCACGAAGAAAGTCCTCCTTTTAACGAGAAAAATAAGTATACGATACACGCAAAATGGACAAAATCATTAACCGTCATCATTCCGTTATTAATGAACATGTAATATTTTGAAAACTGTATATAGAAATGGTAAAATGATTAACAGCAAATCGTTCCATTTTGTTTTATTTGTTGTATGTGTTTATTGGTGTTTACCTCAAATGATTATCTTTCAGTAGTCTTGGTGTGATGTTATCGCTCATATGCTTCGATAATTTTAGTTCTGATTCACAAACTTTGATGGTCGGTTCAACAAGCTCTTTCCAGCTGAAACGTTTCGATGCAAATCGTTGATACAATTCCCAATATCCTTTGACTTCGCCCGGTACAGCAACCGATAACGGCCCGTTTAGGTATTCTTCGGGCGTTTTGAACATGTCTTCGGTAGCATTCAACGGTGCCATTTCTTTGGAATTTAATGTATAGGCTTTGCCTTCCGAGTGAATATACAAATTCATAAGGAATCCACCGCCAATTCCCATACTTTGGGCCGTTGCAATACCATTGCAAAACAGTGTGGCAATGGCTGCATCAAAAATATTTCCTCCCCGGTCAAGGAAATCACTACGAGATAAAACAAGCAAATTTAAATATAAAATTAGAAGGAAACAAAAATGGAATTTCAAGGTTAGAAAAAAATCGCATTGAAAATGAAAGCGTTACCATAGTTCTTTGCTTTGTTAAGTGAAAGTAAACACTTCAAAATGACGTAAAATTTATGACAAAAATATTATCAACACAGAAAAACAAACAAAGAAGAATACAAACCTTCCTATTTTACTACATTGTTCGGCATCAGAGCATACGGCACCATTTTTAAACTGATGCAGTATCGAATGGGATGGTGGCAACGGATACTCTGGATTTGGTACAACTTTTCCTGGTTTTTGTCCATCATTTGTCACACTCCTCACGTAATTCACTAATTTTTGCAAATACATATACGCTACCAATAACACGACTAAACCGACTAAGATTAGAAAGAATTTATATGTTGGCGGCAATACTTTCCACCATTGAAGACATGATCTGAAATCGAGAGAAAAGCGCAAGAATTTTCATTAATTTTCATTTTTAATGCAAAGAGAAGAAACGGATTTGGTTCATGTGAAATTTGTGTTTGAACATCTTACACAACATAATAAAATTGAAATGTTTTCGGTATCCGTTTTGCGGTGGTACACGTGATTCGTTTGTCCTTCTCTAAACGATTCGATGTATGGTATCTGAGTGAAAAGCCATTTATGTGCTTCCTCAATCTCAACATATCAGGAAATTATCGCAAAGAATCCGAAAAAATTCGATTTTTGTGTACAGAATTGGACAAAACCGCTTCCCACCAAATAGCCTAGGCCTGAGCCATATTTATCCAATGTGAGAAAGCTTTGCTGCTGCGGTTACTGTTTTGCTACTCGTTTTTTTTTCTTCTTTCATTTGTTTGTTTGTTTGACATATCTTCACGGCTAGAAATAGATAGGCGGTGTGCGCGCTGACATATGTAAGCAGTAACAATCATATTGATTATGGTTTGTGACCATGCGCACTTTCTATTTCATTTAACCTAATTACGGTATATTTCAAAATGTGTTTTACCGTTACAAACAGCGCAACAAAACTACAAACCACTAATAACAAATTACGATTTACTCAATTGGTTGGGCATCGTTCTGCGGTTGGAGGCCGTCAGAATCAAACAATTCAGTTTCACTTGGTAAACTGTTTGTACGCGTGGAGAGTATGATCTAATGTGTATATGTTGATTTTGGCAGGTTGATGACAAATTATTCAAATGTGCCTCATTATAAAAACATTCAATTTCGGTTCATCAGACGATGGCGACGGCGACGGCGACGGCGATGACGATGCCAATTGACTATCGCAGACTAGGAGAATGCAAGACACATATTTGTTATATTTCTTTTCAAATGTGAAAAAGGAAGACATTTGTTCAACTGGTTTTGTTTTTTTTTTTCACTCCATTCGTTATGTATCGATGATTCAAACGTTACTTTGTTTGCATTTTTATGGTTCAAGTGATGCAATAAATATCAGTTTAGTCTACTCATAAAACATACAATTAATGCTTTTTTTGCCAACTTCTTGTAATGATAAAATTATACATCAATATTACGTCAGGCTATTTTCTTTTTTCATCTACAGAATTGTTTGGATGAATTTTTCATGGAAACGTACAAAAATTTGTGATAACCGATTATTGAGTATATTTCTTGATATGTTTCATTCAGAACAGGTTTAGTTGTCAGTATATGGGCTGTTCGATTCGTAGAAATTCGGTATATGAACTAATGCCATCAACGAAAACCAAGTGATGAACAAACTACATTTTCTGCAAGCACACATCAATTACACACGATGAATGATTGTGTGTCTTTCAGCACACATCAATGATGATGAATTTCTTATGATAATTAATGATATAGCCTAATAGAATCATTTTTAATGGAAATGGATGATCGCCACACAAATTAACTTTTGGCCACAAGCGAGTCGCGTTAATTTCACCGAACATTTTTTGGATAGAATTAACCTTATTGAAATAAATTAACCTTTTCTTTGTGTAAAGCCTACCTTCGTCGTTTGCTGCGCCATTTCTTTGGCGGACTGGTTGGCCGAAAATTCTCGGCAAGTGGTGTTGTCGATTCGATTTGTATGGTTGCCATCGTTTATGTTCACTTACTTGGCGCTGCGCGACTGTCTATTCGATAAATAGAGAAAAAAACGAGTGAAAGATAGAATGCATTCTTTTTTATCGGATTAAGGCAATCTCAACACAATCAAAACCATGATATCAGCAGCAGTAGTAGCCAAGCGGTTGTAGTCACTATTTTATCAGATAGCAGTGATTTGTTTGTTGTGTTTTTTTTGCGCAAAAAACAAGACGCGTAAAATTAATTTTAATAAGTAGGCTCATTTCCAAACAATAGCAATACACCTGTTGCAATTTGCCTAAGCGAAATTTAGTTGTTGTTGCTTTTACTTCGCGCTCATATTTAGATTCGGAAAATAGCACACAGTAGTGGAAAAAAACACAAAAGAAATCGATAACACAATAAATATATGTAAATTGGCGAGTACATTTCAATTGTTCTTTTTTTTTTGTGATAAAAGAAGAACGCAGCGTGTAAGACAAACACACAAGAAAAAAAAATAACAGAAAAAAATGTGATGATTCCGTCATCTACCTAATAATATCGCGCGCGCACACACGATGAATGTAATTATACAGCATGTGATAATTGGATGAGTCTCTGATACGCTTCATTTCGTTAAAAATGTGTTTATTTTAATAATAATTTATAATCAATTGAAACGAAAAACAACAATTCCGAAAACTTACATTTCAGAAAAATGTTCCACCGAAGAAGAAAACAAAATGCGGCAATGAGGAACCAAGAACAACCGAAACAATGAACTAAAGAATATTTAACTCATCAACGGAGTGAAGCAACAATTTGTTGCTAAAAAAAGACAAACTGCTAACGCACCGGCAACCAACCAACTAATTCCAGTCGCGAAACAACGCTAATTTGAATATTGCCCATAGTGCCAAGTTGCTTCATTCATTCTCATATTATCATTTTTTCTTCTTCTTGATACACGTTGGATTTCGTTCGTTGGAACAAACGAAAGCAAGTAAACAAGAAAAGAAGAAAAAGAAGAAGAAGAAGAGAAAAAGATTCTAAATTGGAATTGTTTTTTTTCCTTCTGTTCGTTACGACGAAGTAAACATAGATTGTGTGTGCCGACGTTGCCTTCTCTCTTTTCCACACAATTCATTGCGATTTGTGCGTCCTCTTTTCCATATCATCATCATGATCAGCATAGTAAGACTTCTCTCTCGCTGTCGATATTTATGTTGAGTATTCATGTATACGAATGGGCACATTGTGCGGCGCACACGGTGTGTGTGTGTGTGTGTGTGTGTGCAAATGTATATGTATTCATGGGAATAGCGTTCAAACAAAGTTCGCAATCAATCCAGTAATAAACATTTCGACAATCAAGATGAATAACAGTAACAGAAACGACCGACCGACAACATGATACGATGTTATATTGAGAGGTACTTAATTAGTGTGTTGACGAACCATCGAATATGCGTTAGCGATACGCGCGCTCCGAACCGTTGTACTTTAAAATAAGTATCGGTCGATGAATTAATCCAAAGTAACCAAAAGCACCACGCAAACAAACAAGCGAGCTAAAAAATGTTTAACTTATTTTCTTTCTTTCTCCAAAATTTTGTTGTAACGATTCAAAATCTGCATTCTGGCAGTTCAACATTAGAATTTTGATTTTACCTGTCTTCTTCGCCGTCTTCTGCATCTTCTTATGTACCCATTATGTGCGAGACCATGTTCATTGGACAGCATGCAGCCGTGCGATTGTGGCCGTGTGTGCAAAGAAAATGAAACCAAAACAAACGGTTGACGTTTTGACGTTGACATTTACATCGTATGTGGCTCGTCGAGTGCAAGAAAAACAAATACCCTAGTATAGTCAAATTCATTATGATGGAAATTTATTAACAATTAAAACGGATTTTTAAGTGCCGGTTTTTTGCGTTTTTATTGTTTTTTTTTTCATTTCTTTATTATTATTTTATTTAATTGCGTTCCAAAACAAAAACAAAAACACACGAGACAATAGCATTTGATGATGTGGCTCCATTTGAATTCCTATCAATTTCATAGAATAGTCTTATTTATTTTTGCAATATTCAATACTCTAAAGCCAAACTATTGCCTAAGGAAATATTCACGTGCAGATGTGTTTAAATTAAGGTAATTTTATAGCTTTTTACAATAATTTATTTCACGAGACTGCTATTGATTGTGAAATTTCACTGTTGATTTTGAACAGGGAGGAAGTTCGTGAAATGTTCCAGCATGCATATAATGGTTATTTAAATCATGCGGCTGACTATGATGAATTGAGACCATTAACGTAAATATTCCGACTTTGTTTCCTTCTTTTTTGTACAACATTTTCATTGTAATAGTTCGTTTTTAATACTAATTATGTACCTTTTTCTACACAATTGCAAACTTAATTGTGTTATTTTCAGTTGCGACGGTGTAAACACATGGGGCAGCTATTCACTGACCTTGATTGATTCATTAGACACATTGGCTGTGATGGGAAACTTTTCCGAATTTCGACGTGTCGTGGATATTTTAATTCAAAAGTCAAACTTTGACAGTGATATAAATGTATCGGTGTTTGAAACAAACATTCGAATCGTCGGAGGATTGATTGGTGCTCATTTGATGCAACATCGGTCGGGTGTTACACTTGAACCGGGATGGCCTTGCAATGGACCATTGTTGCGTATGGCCGAAGATGTGGTAATGACATTGAAATTAATTGAAACCGAATTTTACCAAAAAAAAAAAACAATTCAAATAAATCCAATTCGAATCCATTAGGCAAGACGTCTATTGCCTGCATTTGACACCAAAACTGGTATGCCGTACGGGACAGTAAATTTAAAGTATGGTGTACCCGTCAATGAAACAAGGTAAAACATTCATTCGTCTTAATCGAATTATGAATTATTCATATGCAAATGTGTGTCATGTTTTTGTAGCGTAACGTGTACAGCTGGTGTGGGAACGTTTATCGTGGAATTTGGAGCGTTGAGTCGACTGACGGGTGATCCAATTTACGAGGAAGTGGCAATGAATGCCATTTATTCTCTAACGAAATATATGTCAAACATTGGCTTATACGGTAATCATATCGACGTACAAACTGGACGATGGACAGGTAATGACATTTTTCTTACATGGAATTTGACATTGACATTTCTTTAACGTTGCATTTTTCTACGATTTCTAAAAAACTTTTTCTTATTTACTGAGAAATATCCGCTTCTCACTTTGAATTAGAAATTATGGAAAATACAATGAAATGTCATCAAATTATTATTATCCAATTGAAAGGCCAATTTATCTGAAATGTCAATAATTCACAGGTGTTGACAGTGGAATTGGTGCCGGTGTTGATTCATTCTTTGAGTATTTAGTTAAAGGTGCAATTATGTTGAATCGGCCAGAACTGATGCAAATGTTCAAAGAGGCAAAAGTTGGCATCGATAAGTATCTCAGCAAGAATGATTGGCACATTTGGGCGAGCATGACAAAGGGCCTTGTCACCATACCAGTTTTTCAATCGCTAGATGCGTACTGGCCAGGCGTACTTAGCATGGTCGGAGACATACCAAATGCTATGAAATCCATTTATAATTATCATTCCGTGTGGAAACAATACGGGTTTCTTCCAGAATTTTATAACAGTATGTATTCCATCGATTTTTGGGCTGAATCAATTTAAACGTGTCCCAATGTTTTCAATGTAAAGAATATTGATGAAAATATTTCTGTTCCAGTACCAAACAGTGAAGCTGGAGCGAACCGTGAAGGGTATCCATTGAGACCCGGTATGAAGAAATTTGAGTTAATTCTTTCTTTTTTCAATTCTGGCTCATTATTATTATGAACATTTGTTCAAATGTTTTTTTTTCTTCATTGCTTTCTTAATTCAATAAGGCTAATTTTTGATGGGTAAATTTAAATCAACCATTGATTTGTTATTGTTATAGAATTAATCGAGTCTGTGATGTACTTGTATCGAGCAACGGGTGATTCATACCTCTTAGAAATTGGCGAAGATATGCTTAGGAGTATTCAACATAGCGCAAAGACTTCATGCGGTTTTGCTACGGTAAGATAGTTAGAAGATCTGAAGTAGATTTACTTTGCCATATAAGAGATTTTCCCTTGAAATTTTCAATTGAATGGATGGACAGATATTTGAGACCGTCACCCAATTGAATAAACATTTTTTTAGTTCTTACAAGAAATAATCATTTTGCCTCAATCAAGTGAATCACAATCGATTTTTTTTGTTTTCAGATAAAAAATGTGCGCGATCATCGCAAGGAGAATCGAATGGAATCATTTTTCTTGGCTGAAACGACAAAATATCTGTATATGTTGTTCGATCCGGACAATTTTCTCAACAATGACGGCGGCAGTGGTACTGTAGTGCAGGTGCTAAATGGTGAATGTGTCATTGATGCAGGCGGCTATATATTTAATACTGAGGCGCATCCAATCGATCCGGTACGATTCCATTGGATTTTGATTTTATCCTATAAAAACCATATTCGTGCACCAATTACAAGCAATATCCTTAACTAATTTGTATAAATCCACAGGCTGCGCTAAGATGTTGCCATGAAACACCTTATAAGGAGATTCTTGCTGAAGATTTTACCACTTCGCATTATCTGGGAGAAGTATTTCGAGTGAAAATTGATGAAGAAATAGAACCAGATAATACAAATGACATATTGAACGATGATGCGGTGCGTAGAAATTCGATTTTCGTTTTATTCGATCCCAATTTTTCTGTACGCATTTTTTAAAAGTATTTTTTTCCCATCCACAGGAATTCGATTTGAAGCAAGTGACCGAATGGCTTGAAAGTGACGAAGAAAAGAGTGAGCTATTGAAATTTATTGATGAAATCAAAGCGATTTCAGATAAAAAATCGTCCCGGAAAAATCCACTGCTGACAAAATCATCAAATACGACCGATGCGCAAAAGAACACATCGTACGATGAGCTATTGCTGTTTGACGAGATTCTATCGGCTGAAATCAACAAAAATTCCACCAATCCGAACAGCAACATCATCAAAGATCGTATCAATAGGACAGGGAGAATAATAACGGAAAGTAATCAACAAGCCCAAGCGCCGGAGTGGAATTCACAACGACAAGAATCAGACAAAATTGACGAAGAACTAGTATTACATCCGGCTGAACAAGAATCCACACCGAAATCATTCGATCCACAACATTTGATCGAACGCATTCGACGAACAAATCATCGAACACATGTGACCTCAAACTATGAACTGTTGTCCTGCAAATCACAGTCATTTCTACAACGTTTGGCTGTGCTCGGCGAAATACTAACATGAACAGTTCCTTGTAATTTTGTATAAAGAAAAATTAAAGCAAAAAAAAAACAAAACGAAATTGTTGTTTTATTCATTTTTTTCTTGAAGACAGGAATTGAATATTGAAGGGAGAAACAAACTCAGAAAATAATTTCTATTTTAATTGTCTACAAAACAAAATTCCTCATCACTTATTTTTCTTTGTTTGAATTACTTTATTTTTCCACTTTGATTTTCACAACAGAGGTTGAGCGTTGATTCAGGTTAAGCAACACTCGAGTTGTTTACAAATTCTATTACTCAATCTAATAATTGTTTTGTTTATACGACGAGTTTAATGGTGGTGTCTTGGTTTTCCTTCATTTGGATCTGGAGCCTCGTATCCATCGGGCAATGCACTGAAAAGATGCAATGTGAAAAATGGAAACAGGTGAATAAAAATGTCCAAGAGCAAGTAAAAAAAAATGCATTTAAATTGATGTTGATTCCAAAATCATCAAATCGAAAGCTGAACATACTTGTGAACTGGATTGTGGAACAAGCTATGGTTTCCATCACCCCATGGGAATTGCTTTCTGCGGATACGCAAATGTTCATATGGGACAAATTCTGGACGAGGTTGTTCGGCGTGCTCGACATGGTCCAAGTATGCGTTCAACATGCCCAAAGCGATGGCTGGGAATCCAACGAAGAATGTCAATCGTCGCCACAAAACAACTTTTTCTAAAATCACACAAATAAAATAGCATTAGATAATGGCAAACCAAATGGATTTCTAATCAATTTTTGTCATTTGAGAAAAGACAAGTCACAAGCAATCGATATGACCTAAAGGTTATGTTATTCGTATGTTTTTACGTTGTGAGTAAGGAAATATCACAGTCTTTTTGCAGTATTTTTCGAAAACTATTGGAATTATTTTCGATTCTGCATCGAATTGAAATATGAAATAACAACACCTTCAGTGGAAAAATGTGCGAAAATGTTGAACAACAAAAAGACATCTATCTCATGTTACATAATGTCATTTCGTTTACGAGTTTTCTCTCGGAACCAAATTTATTGAATTGAAATATTCTGGTGTAAATTACCTGGGCTGCTTCCATGATCGGCAGCTGAACGACGGGCTGCGGTAGTTTGGATGAAACGGCGAATGCTATGATTCCAAAAAGATGCCATTTTTCTCTCTCTCTCTCTATCGAAGAATTTTCTTCCTGGCTAAGAGTCGAATTCAAGAAAAATATTATGTGAAAATTTACTGCGACAATGACACAAGTCTGACTTTTTTTTCTTTTGACATATGACAGCTGGCATTAAATGGCGATTTCGTTCACAAATCATACAACTAGATGGCGCTAGCTGTGAGTTATTTAAACTTTTGAATACTAGAAAAGGAATGAAGAAAATTGCTTCTTCGCCGGAAGAAAATTGCTCCAAAATTTCAAATCGACTAAAATGGAATTGAAAATTGTATTCGATAAAGAGCGGAAAAAAAACCAATTTTGAATGAAAAGAACTTCAGATTTCAAAAACGTAGGCAAAGTGGATCCTCAATACGGTAGTAAAAGAAGCAAACGTTACAGTTTTCAGAGTTAAATAAGACAGAGCATAAATTCATTCTATTTGAAATGAAAAAACAAAATGCAATAGAAAACACAGTCAAAATAGAGTGAAATTTCATGAACCATATCTACCTTCCGAATAAAAACGGCAAAAATGTGTTTTTCATTGTAAGAACTCTTAAAAATTTTCTTTATTTGAATAGCAAAAAGCCATTAGCTAACAGACAAATAACATAAAGAGAAGAAACATAAATATGATTTTTTTTGTGTGTCATTTTTTTTTAAATTTAGTTCTTTTGAGTTCTGAAGAAATTTGTTACTGACTGATGTTTTGATGATGGTTATGTCATCGAAAAATTAAAAAATAAATAATCTTAGCATAAATAACAATTACATGCAATTTTATTTTGTATATACAATAGAGAAGAGTGTGTTTATTTCTTTTTTTCATCTTAAAATACAATCAACTACAGACACAGCACTTACATGCACACAGTGAACACAAAAGAACAGGGGTGAGGGAGAAAAAAAGAGGCTTGAAGTGGGTTCAATGAGGTCAAGAACCAGGTAGCCTTAATGTGTTTCCTGTGTGATCTAATTTGTGTTGCTAATCGTTAGCCAGAGCACGACATGCTGTAAGCTGAAGCCTGTAAAACGGAATCGTTTATCTCACGAACGGATGCCACTCTGGAAGTGTATCATTTGCTTTTTTCTCTGTGTATCGTGGTAGCCTTTGTTAAAAATTTTGATTTCTCTATTCATAATTCATATCATCTACTCCTAATCATATGCGATTCAAAATAATCGCTTCTCCATTTTATTTAGAATGAAATTGTATGAATATACAAATATCGTGTTTCATTAGATTTTTGTGTGTTGCCTTTTCTTTTTGGTTTGGTTTGCCTTTTTCAAATAATTACAAATTTTTAATTGTCTTTATTCATTCAATATAAAATCACAACAAAAACAACAAAAAATCAATTGAATTGAAATTGCATGACTAGTTATCAAGTCATCGTCATCACTGATGACCGTTCGAATTGTCATGAATGGTATGAGTCTTTAAGTAAAATGATTGAAATGCAGTTTGGAACATAGCCTGTCGAATTTATATATATATATATATATATATATATATTAGGGCGGGTCGATTTGTAGGGAGTGAAAAAATTCGACAATTTCCCTATGATTTCCGTATTCTATGGGTTATTTCAAGAAAATTTGCCCAAGGAACCATACCTCTATCGTTAAAATCGAGTCCCCTACTTTTTGTAGGTAGATTTTTTTCCAAAATTGACGTTCGTAAGAAATGTTACCTACACGTTCACATCCATAAACTATCGATCGGATCTAATCGCCAGTAGGCGCGTTGGAAAGGTGAGCTCATTCTGATCAATTTACAAAACAAAACCTCCAACATTGGTCCTACGGTTCAAAAGTTACGGGCATTTTTGTCCAAATTTTGAACCATTTTTCCATTTTTTTCATGATTTTGTCCAAAAATATTACTTTCATGGCCATTTTTTAGGCTCAATCCATTATTTTATTCAATTTACAATTCAAAACGAAGAGTTTAAGCCCAAATTTATCGAATTCGGTTGATTAGTTCAGGCGATATTGCTAAAACAAAATAACACATAAAACCAACTTTTTGATTTTTTTTCCCCTTTTTATTTTTTTTTCTACAAAAATTCAAATTAAGAGATAATAAAGTATCTATCAACCTATAATCAAAAAAAAAATATTCAATTTGAGCGAAATATAACGTATTTTTTCAAAACAATACTCTTTATCAACATAAGTGTATAATATACACTGTATATCGACATGTGTTACAGATTACAAGCAACGCCACCATGCTTGACATGTGTGAGATCATACTTTATTGTTTACAACTCAATATAGGGACTGAATATCGGCGTAAAATGTGTTATTCCTATTGCGACGATTCAAATGGCTATTTTTCATATACGCACCAATACATTGTCACACACTGGCATCGTCTCTGTTGTGTTGAATGTATTGAGCCATTCTATCATGCACACCAAATCTGTCACACATCATTGCATAGTTTTTAGTATTGTATCTGTGAGTGTATGTTTGTGGTGATAGAACTTATTCTGAAACTCCTCTCACATCAACTTCCATTTCGTCATCATCTGGTGTGTATGTAGGATCGTTGCTCACTGGGATTGTTGGTATAGTCGTTGGTATCGTCTCTTCACTTCCACTATCGTGTTCCGGTATCGTTTGTATTCTGTCATTATATTGATCGCGCATGAAATAGTTTAAGTTTTCTGGGATAGATCCACATGAGCAGTCGTTTTCTTTCAAGTTGCATTTACATTTTCCAATGTTGAATAATTCGTTTGTTGATTCTACGAACTTTTGGAATTCTGTTGCGCGTTTTACTCGTTGTTTAACTGCATTATAATATGCGTCAATGAAAGCATTCAATTTTCTAATGATGCTACCTTTGAGTATAAGTTCAATATTAAGTTGACTCCAAATTTCGAACAATCTGTCTGCTACTTGGGGAGTAAGTGTTTTATACGAAAACATTTTGCTTAGGGCTTTTGAACGTTCGGCCAAGAAAAAATAATACTTCAATATATCTCGTTTTGTTGACAGATTAATATCAGGTAATTCACAAGCCACGCCAAAAGAAAAAACATCATGAGAGAACAAATGTTGCAAACTACTGCGTTGGGTATCTGTTGGATCTTGCGATGAATCAGGCTCTGAATCCATTTTTTAAATCGTCACTAAAAGAATTAAATTTGTTTTTCATAGAATAATAATATAACTATTAACTATAATAGTAAGCAATGTTTTTACACTTACCTTTAAATCTTTTCTAAATTTCAAAATAGTTTGATTATTTGTTAGTTATTTCAAGTAACACTTCACTGAAATGACGCTCAAACAAAACTAGCATACACTGCAATATTATATGCTTTTTTTCATATACGCACCAATACATTGTCACACACTGGCATCGTCTCTGTTGTGTTGAATGTATTGTGAATTGCGCGCTCAACAACGTGCTCAATACATTCAACACAACAGAGACGATGCCAGTGTGTGACAATGTATTGGTGCGTATACTACTGTGTCCAAAAAGTAAGGTGACATTGCATTTATTTTGAAAATTCTTTATTTATTCTTCCAAATCAATTTCATCGCCTTCAAAGTAATCCCCTCCCGATACAATGCACTTATGCCAACGGATTTTCCAATCTTCGAAACAGTTAAAAAAGTCGACTTCAGGGATGGCCCTCAGCTCCGTCTTCGCTGCGGCTTCAATCTGCTCTATCGTCTCAAAACGGTGTCCCCGGAGCGGTCTTTTGAGCTTGTTGAACAGCCAGAAGTCGCACGGTGCCAAATCAGGTGAATACGGTGGTTGTGGAACGATATGAGTCGAGTTTTTGGCGAAATGTTCACGAAGAATGATCGCATTGTGAGACGATGCATTATCATGGTGCAAAAACCAAGAGTTGTCTTTCCACAATTCCGGCCTCTTTTGGCGGATAGCGTTACGCAAACGACGCATAACACTCAAATAATATTCCTTGTTGACTGTTTGACCCGGGGGAAGGAACTCATAATGCACAACACCCCGATAATCGAAGAAAACAGTCAACATGACCTTGATTTTTGAGCGACTTTGGCGCGGTTTTTTTGGTCTCGGCTCACCTTTGGCACGATATTCGCTCGATTGGTCGGTTGTTTCCGGGTCGTAAGCATAGATCCAAATCTCGTCTCCAGTGATCATGCATTTCGTCTTGTCAATGTAGTCAGAAAGCATTGTTTCACACACGTCAACTCGACACCTTTTTTCCAAAAAATTCAATGATTTCGGTACCAGTCGAGATTTGACGCGTTTGAGGCCCAAAACATCCTTCAAAATGGTATTGACTGAGCCTTTCGATATGCCAATATCATCAGCAAGGTCTCTAATCGTTAATCGACGGTTTTCCAACACCAAATCTTTAATTTTTTGGACGTGAGCTTCGTCGGTTGAGGTTGATGGTCGCCCAGCACGCTCTTCGTCTTCGACACATTCACGGCCTGCTTGGAACTCACTATACCACTTGTAAACATTTTTTTTCGACATAGCCTCATCACCAAAGGCTTTCTGCACCATCCTCAACGAATCCGCAGCAGAAAATTGATTCCGCAAACAAAATTTAATGCAAATTCTTTGATCAACAAATTTCGACATCGCAAAAAACGAGAAATTCACTTTTAGCAGTCCACAAAACGAAGCGTATCTCAAACACTAATGAATATTTTGACGTGTAATTTGGCAGGGATGTCAAAGACAGTCCTACCAACCTAAAAATAAAAGGATTTTTTCAAATTCCCCAGCGCGCTAAATTTTAAATGCAATGTCACCTTACTTTTTGGACACAGTAGTATGAAAAATAGCCATTTGAATCGTCGCAATAGGAATAACACATTTTACGCCGATATTCAGTCCCTATATTGAGTTGTAAACAATAAAGTATGATCTCACACATGTCAAGCATGGTGGCGTTGCTTGTAATCTGTAACACATGTCGATATACAGTGTATATTATACACTTATGTTGATAAAGAGTATTGTTTTGAAAAAATACGTTATATTTCGCTCAAATTGAATATTTTTTTTTTGATTATAGGTTGATAGATACTTTATTATCTCTTAATTTGAATTTTTGTAGAAAAAAAAATAAAAAGGGGAAAAAAAATCAAAAAGTTGGTTTTATGTGTTATTTTGTTTTAGCAATATCGCCTGAACTAATCAACCGAATTCGATAAATTTGGGCTTAAACTCTTCGTTTTGAATTGTAAATTGAATAAAATAATGGATTGAGCCTAAAAAATGGCCATGAAAGTAATATTTTTGGACAAAATCATGAAAAAAATGGAAAAATGGTTCAAAATTTGGACAAAAATGCCCGTAACTTTTGAACCGTAGGACCAATGTTGGAGGTTTTGTTTTGTAAATTGATCAGAATGAGCTCACCTTTCCAACGCGCCTACTGGCGATTAGATCCGATCGATAGTTTTTGAGTTATGGATGTGAACGTGTAGGTAACATTTCTTACGAACGTCAATTTTGGAAAAAAATCTACCTACAAAAAGTAGGGGACTCGATTTTAACGATAGAGGTATGGTTCCTTGGGCAAATTTTCTTGAAATAACCCATAGAATACGGAAATCATAGGGAAATTGTCGAATTTTTTCACTCCCTACAAATCGACCCGCCCTAATATATATATATGTTGGTTTGTTTTTGATTTGGTTTTGGCCTAATGTAAAAACTACTTTTAATTGGACGATTTTGCTTGGCAAAATGTACAAATACAATTGTGTTTATATCAATATAAAGAGTCAGGCATACAATTAATTCTATCACTAACCACAATTTGGATTGAAAATTCCTTTCTAGATACACATGAAATTGCAACCGCTGCAAATGTTATCATTAATTCAACATATTTAGATAAGTATCTGCGATTAATCATAATCTTTCCAATGGAATGGTACGTGCTCATAAAAGAATTTCCAACGCAAACCTATTTACTTTCTTTGTATTGGAATGTATGCTTTAAAAGGTTTCGCTAAGTACTTTTGTATTTGCATGTTTTATTTAGAAGAATTGCGATCAAATGTAAAGATTTATTTAATTTTTTTCTTGTCATTTTCTGGTTACTGTTCCACTACAATGAATATTACAAACCACATTTATAGCCGAAATGGAGAAAAAAGATTGCTATTTTGTTTATGTTTTTTGTGCGTAATGGGGAGGAGGGTGTCAGTGTTCAAACAATAACAATACTGTTATCGAAAAATGACTGATATTAATAAAAAATCAATTTGGATTAATCTGTCAACAACTATAATTGGGTTTCTAGTGTGGGGTTGGATGATGGACTGGCATATATTTGTAGTCAACATTTTTGCACAAGGAGAATGAACGTAATAATTTTTGGTGTGAATGTGTGTTTTTGAAACTGAAATGCCGACACCAATGTAGGTTGGAGTGTGGAATATCCTTGAATAGTTTTCTTTTCTGTTCATACACAAATCATAAGCGAAACGTTTTCCCGTTTGCATCACAGTGGGAACGATTTGTATACACATGCTGAGATTATTAGTATCGATTCGGATTTTCATTATTTACCCTTAAAGTACAACCGCTTCATCTTTATTTTCGTGGTTTTTTCTTCCTTTTCTTGTTCATTTTTTGTCAAGGACAATCACTAAAATTAGGCTTAAATCACTCGTTTATATCAAATTATTTAACGTTTAAGAGAATCATAAGAAAGAAGAAACAATAGGCCAAATCATATGTTAGAATAGCACCTAGAATTTGTTTTTGCTCTCTATCTCTCTCTCTCTCTCTATCTCTCTATCTGTCTATCTTTCTCTTTCTCTTTCTCCTTTTCTCTGTGTTTGTTTTTATTCTTCGAATTTTATTCTAAATACTTTGTTCACAGAGAATTCATTCTAATCGAAGTGCGGCTTCACGAATTTTAGCTCAAACTAAACCAATACGTTCATTAGACTACATAGAATTGTGTTTTTTTCCTTTAATTTTACGTTTAGAATAGAGGAAAAACAATTTTAATGACAGTGCACTTGAAATGAAAGACAGAGAAAGTTTCTTTTGTTAGCTTAAAGAAAGTCGATTTCTCTAGAATAGAAAGAAAGGAAAACGAACAATAACAGTTTACAACTATAGGACTATTGCTTGAAAGTCGCTTATTCTCATATATATATATATTTTATGCTCTCTACTTCTCCGTAGTTTTTTCTTCGTCTATCGTATTTCGTTCATGAGCCGTCATTCATTTTTTCATGTCTAGGAATTTTCTAATGCGGCGGTGGCGACGGCGACGGCGACGACGGTAGTTTTTACTTTTCGGTTACATAAAATTTTGGTCATAGCAACTGGCACAGTTTCGATCGTTTTTTATGCTTTTCCGTTTTGTCGGTTTTTGTGGTCGGTGTCTGGGTGGTATTGGTGGTTTTTTCAATCGTTGCTGTTGTCGCTTCCGCACACAATGGAGTCTTTTCTTTACTACTAAATTGAATATCGCAAATTTTCTCGTTATCGCTACTCGCTTGCACATTGGCCAATTTATCGGCTTTATTACTATTGGAATTGCTATAAAACGATTTAGAAATTTTAGATCGTACTGCTTTTGATAGTGCGCCCGTTTTGCGTAAACTACTGAATTTTCGCCGTTGTTCATTCGGTGCAACGTTATTTTGATCTTGAGCACAATTCAATGTGGTTACCGTAAATTCGATGCCTTTTACTTCGTCGGCACATGCTGCAATAGAATGTAAAGATATTTGTTTGTTCGATCTTAATTTTTCAATTTTTAGTTCGATAAATTTCAATGGAAAATGTCAATATGATTTTTGCCACTTGGATTTTGAACAAGGGTGTTTGGTGTTGAATTTTGATTTATGGGTTTTGTTTAAATTACCTCCGAATTCCTCGACAGGTTTGTCGATTGTATCATGATCGATCCATGTTAAACTGTAAACAAAACGAGAGAGAGAGAGAGAGAGAGAGAGAGAGAGAGAGAGAGAGAGAGAG